AACAGACTTATGTATGCTTCAGGATTTTTTGAATAAGTAAATGTGGCAGAGGTGGCTACACATATTCGTTCGAATTCCAGAGAATAACTGGCCTCTGCAAGGATAACTCATTCAACTTTAAATTTCATCAAACCCATCTGCATAATGGTTGGGTATTAATTTGAATTGGAATTTAAAGTGGATCTATTAAGTAGCCACAAATGAATAACAGCAGCTTAAGGAGATGATAACGACTTCTGATAAATGCACCAGATGGACAGATCTGTCTTTAAAATAAAAAGGAACAGATAAAAAAGATTTGTGGACCCAACTTTAGGAGCTTAGAATTATACATATTTTTGCCTAATTAAAAGAAAATCCATCCAAGACATAAAACGAAGACAAAAATTCAGTCCATCAATCCTTTTCTGGAGGTTCTGGGAACACTGCCTGAATAATAAATATATAATAAATATAGACTTTGATAGCTTGAAGCTCTATATAACAAAGAAAAAGCTGTATGGGATTCTCCTGGATCACAGCACAATATGCAATAGGCATAACCTATTGATAAGAATCCAGCTATTTGCATATTCTTATCCCCTATTACTGAACAAATACAAAAAACATAACTAAAGCACAAATAGAATTGTCATCTAATAACAAACAAGATTATAATCCACTTGATGAGTACTTTTACATAATTCATTTGCATATTTAACAATTAAGTCAAGAACCAAAAATCTGCAACAACAGACGATTGTCCTATTGAGGTCAAAATGTTGCTTTAAAGCATTTTCTAATCTGCCAGCTGTTATTCTGTTAGACAACAATTAATGCTTTTATAAATGTATATTCAAAGCCATACGATTGCATTCTAATTCTGCTTATGTGAACTCCTCTTCGGGTGGTTAAACTCCCAAGCAAATATAATTAGAAAATGCAGTGAAAATCTAAGGCCCATTCTACAGCTTCAGTACATTTTCTGTCCCCCCCCCATAAATCTGAAAAGTAATCTGTGCACAAAATACTAAGATAAATTGCACTTATCACAGGACAAGATGGAACAAGATGGAAACCTAGTTGCTGAAAACGTGGTTACAAAATATCATTTCAAATAAATACATTTTTTTAAAAGAAAAAAAGTGCAGTTTTTCACTTGTTCCGAATTCTTGACTAAATGCATTTCAAATTAAAATACGTTATGAATCTACGTTTTGGTTGGTTTTGTTATTATGTATGTATGTATGTATGTATGTATGTATGTATGTATGTATGTATGTATGTATGTATGTATATGGAGCAAGCAATAATTACAAACACATGTTGAGAACATATGGAATATTATTAATCTTATTATATTATTATATATTACGCATTTATGTCATAGCCTTGTGCAGCCCTATAATGTTATTGATATTATTTTAAAATTTTCATATGAATATTGTATCTGAGTAAACATCTGATAATAAATACTGAAATTAAAAACACGTATGATTACTGAAAGTTGATCAAAGTAGATTTCCAAAGTTGTTTAAATTAATATAACTATTTAGAATGAGAGTGATTGATTGATTTGATTGATTGGTAATTTATTTCAACATGTGAACAATATACAAGTACATTTAGAAAAGAAATAAGAGAGAAAAAAATACTATACAAATTACATACAAAAAAACATTCTGATTAATTTACATGTTGAAAGGGAGTGGGAAGAAGTATACACTTATTTAATCCCACCCCTGTCCCATAAATTATCAGTGAATATTTAGTCAGCTTCCTTACTGATATAATTTGTAATAAAAATAGTGAACAGAATTCTGATATACTATATACTATAATATCACATCATGAATTTTTTGTTTGTTTGTTTGTTTTTAAATAGAGACACTCACTTAATTTAAATATTTTCCTTTTCTTTATAGATCGAGAAGATCATATTTTTATAACTCTGTCACAGGCTGGGTCTCCGACCCAGCACTCTGAGTTTTCTTTCTATTTTTTGATATGTTATTAGTTTTTGTGTTATTTCCTATTTTGCCTTTAGTTTAGGCAGTTATTGGTTATTGTTCCTGGGTTTTCTATGTTTTGGGGTTTGGTATTTATTCATCACGTATTAGGTCTGTTAAGTTGTGTTGTCATGTTTAGTTTTAGTATTTCTGTTTTATTCTGACAATGTCATGTGTTCTCTGTTAATTGTATTTAGCTTTTCTCTCCTGGTCCTGTCATTAGGTTTATGGCTGTCAGCTGTTTCCCCATATGTTTCCACTTCCCCTGATCACCTCATGTCTGTATTTAAGCCTTTTGTTTTCTTCATGCCATTGTCGGGTCGTCTGTTTATTCTGCCCTAGTTCTAGCCTGGTTCTGTTTATTTTGACCTCGGTCTTAGTTATGGTTTTCATCTGTTATTCATCATTAGTCTTAGTCATAGTATTTGCTGGTTATTTTCCATCACAGTCATAGTTTAGGTTTTGGTCTCAGTACCGTTTAGTGTTTTGTTTCTTAGTGTTTTGTCAGTTTACTTTGGTTTCCTGGTTTACTCCTGCCGTCATCTAATAAAGGATCACTTTTCTGCTCAAACTTTCAACTACTCGTCATCATCTGCTTTTGGGTCCTGTTTCCACACACATCGGCGCACCCCGCCGTGACAAACTCTTTTTGAACGGTTTTATGTTTGGACATTGCTTTAATTCCATATTCAGTTTGTTCCATAGTTTCACTCCATGAACAGAAACACAAAAGCCTTTTCTTGTAGTACGTACCTTCATTGTTTTGAAGTTACAAAAACCCCTTAAATTATAACTTCCTTCTTTCAAAAAAAAAAAAAACATACTCTGAATATTACCTGGCAGTTCTTTATTTTTTGCTTTGAATAGAATTTGTGCTGTTTGGAATTTCACTATATCGTCAGTTTTCAATATTTCAGACTGCAAAAATAGTGAGTTTGTATGTTCCCTGTAACCTGCATCGTGGATGATTCGAATTGCTTTTTTTTGAAGAGTAAAAAGTGAATGTAATGTGGTTTTATAGTTATTGCCCCAGACCTCTGCACAATAGCTTAAGTATGGTGAAACCAGTGAACAGTAGAGAATATGAAGTGATGTTCTGTCGAATACCTGTTTTGCCTTGTTTAGTACTGCAATGCTTCGTGATACTTTGGAATGAATATATCTTACGTGAGCTCTCCAGTTAAGTTTTTCATCTATTATTACCCCCAGAAATTTATTTTCACTGACTCTTTCAATATCAACACCATTTATTTGAATCTTTGCATTTGTATTTAAACTACTATTTCCAAATAACATAAGTTTAGATTTATTCAAATTTAATGATAATTTGTTTTTATCAAGCCAGAACTTCACTTTACTTATTTCATTAGTCATATCCTCCAATAAATTCTGCAGATCATCACCAGAGCAAAAAATTTTTGTATCGTCAGCAGAGAGAACCATTTTTAATACTTTGGACACTTTACAGATGTCGTTAATGTACAAGTTGAAGAATTTTGGACCCAAAACTGACCCTTGGGGTACACCACAAGCAATGTCCATACATAAGGAGCAACCACCATTTATTTTCACAAACTGCTTTCTGTCACTTAAATAACTCCGGACCCAATCTAAAACTACCCCTCTGACACCATAACGTTCCAGTTTTCTTATTAATATATCATGATCTATGGTGTCAAATGCCTTTGTCAAGTCTATGAATAACCCAGCCACATATTGCTTTTTGTCTATGGAATTTGTGATGTATTCTATTGAATCTAATAGTGCCGATGATGTTGATCTGCTTGATCTGAATCCGTACTGACTCTCAGTGAGTAGTTTATGTTTATCTATAAATTTTTCCAGTCTGTTTTTAAACAGTTTTTCAAGAACTTTTGAGAATTGAGGTAGTAAAGAGACAGGCCTGTAGTTTGTGAAATGGTGTTTGTTCCCAGATTTGTATAGAGGTATAACTTTTGCTATTTTCATTCTGTCTGGAAATCGACCAGTTTGAAATGATAAATTACAGATGTATGTAAATGGTTTTATAATAGCCTCAATGACTCTTTTAACCACTATCATATCAATATCATTACAATCCAAAGATTTGTGATTTTTTACATTTTTTGACAATTTCAAGAACTTCATTTTCATCAACGGCTGTGAGAAACATAGAATATGGATTTCTGTCAATCAGTGTATCGGGTTTTTCCTGTGCTTTCCCAGGATGAGTGATTGTTCTTGCTAAATTTGGTCCAGCAGTTACAAAGAATTCATTGAGACTATTTGCCACAACATCCATATTGTATTCTTCATGGTCATTACAAATGAAATACTTGGGATAGTTCTTTTGTCCAGTCCCACATTTTATAACACTGTTCAGGATTTCCCATAATCTTTTATTATTATTTCTATTTATATCTAATTGCTTCTTATAGTATTCCTTTTTACTAAAGCTAAGTATATTAGTTAACCTATTTTTATATCTTTTGTATCTGATTTCAGCATCTTTAGTTCTCGTTCTTAAGAACTCTCTGTATAGAGCATTTTTCTTTGTACATGCATTTTGCAGACCTTTTGTTATCCATGGACAGTCCATATATTTCTGTTTCCTACTATATTGCTTTATTGGACAGTTGGTATTGTACAGTAATGTAAATATTCAATTATCATTAACTTAATGGTCAGGAACTTATTAAGCTCAATTCTGATTTTTAAAGGATTAAAAAAAGTATTTATTGATTTGTTTGTTTGTTTGTTTGTTTGTTTGTTTGTTTGTTTGTTTTAAACCTAAATTGTCCTTCAGTTGCAGGACAATCTAGGCTAAATACGTCTTTACTTTTAAAAACAGTTTTGGAGGAAAGCTTAACTCGCCAAAAGAACATTATATAACAATGCAGGTACCTTTTAACAGTTTCAAGTCTTTGGTGTGCTCTTATTTTGACGGGACACTCTCCCCTGACGCTCAGCTGCAAAACGAAACCTTCCAAAACACTAAACGTCAACGAAAAGCACGTGTCGACCTCCCGCTTGCCGTACTTGGCTCCGCCATTGTTTGACAGGTCTCGTTGCTAACCAGAGGCTTTCATGGTTACCAACTCAACAACACCAAAAGAAAGAAACTTCCAAGCCTTCCATGGCTTTATAGAAAGCTTTTCGACAACACAGAAAGCATGGAAGAGGACAACCGCCTTAGACAGGTACTTTATACTTTCTCCCTCATTTTCTCTTTCACTCCACCGGTGCTAACTTCCGACATCAGTAGTTCGTGTTAGCTTCTGTTTTGGAAGTTCACAGCGAAGCACATAATGTGTTTTGAAACGCGCAGAGCACTTTATTATCTGAAGCCACGCTTTTGTTTCAAACTGGTAGAGTAAACTCGTTAAGTTGCCTGACTTTGCCACTTATGAACTGGGTTGGCTTGGTATTTATTCGAGCTGTGTGGAAGCGTAATGTTTTAAAGCGTCTTTGGAGCATCGGCACGGGAAGTCCAACCGCTAAGTCTGTTTCACAGTGAAATACGAGTCAGTCATACTGCTGCTGAGTTCTGAACGCAAAGCGTGTGCCGTAAAAATGTTCCTCTCCACGCCAAATAAACGCTAGAGGCGAATAATAGTCTTGTAATAGTCAAAACCATTTACTGTGATTTGCAGCGGTGCTCAGGAAGTTATTTTGGGTGCAGAGAACAGTTTATTGCAGCAGCCAGTGCAGGCTTTAGAAAAGCATGGGAAGTTTGATTAGCATGTTGCTTGAGTAAGGTTTCATTAAGATTTGTCTGATCCTTGTTTGGCCCTAAAATTAGCCAACATTGCTTGGTTCTTTATTCGTTTCAATTACGGGTTATTTCTATAGCACCAGTTCTGAACAGTCACCTCAAGGTGCTTTATATTGTAGGGTAAATATGTGACAGAAACCCCAATCAGACGCAACCCTATGAGCACACACTTGGTGACAGTGAGAAGGGGAAAAAATGAAGAACAGTTAAAGTTGGGTCCTTTTAACAGGAAGAAACCTTCAGCAGAACCAGACAGAGGGTGAGCAGCCACTTTGCTTTGGGTGTTTTGGGGTTGAGGAGAAAGATGAGAGCAGAGAAAGACAGGACAAAAAAAACAAAGAGAGGGCCAGAGGTTAGTAATTAGCAATGATTAAATGCAGCAGTGGTGTATAAACACATAGAAAGTGAAATGTGAAACAAAAAAGAAGACTAAAGAAATGTTCAATACATTATGGGAGGCACTCCAGCACTCTAATGCAGCATAACTCAGGGAGGGTTCAGAGTCAACTGATCCAGCCCTGGCTATAAGATTTATCATAAAGGAAAGTGTTTGTCTCCTGAATTCAAACTGGGTTTCACATGAGAGGGGCCGGGTGGCTGACTGCTCTGTTTCTTGTTCTACCTTTAAAAACTATGACCCAAAAGTAAGCCTGCAGTCTGAAAGTGAAGTGCTCTCTTAGAATAATAAGGTACTTTGAAGTCTTTGAGGTATGGTAGGGCCTGATTAATCAAGATTTTGAATGTGAGGAGAAAGATTTTAAGTTCGGTTCTGGATTTAACAGAGACCCAATGAAGAGGAGCTAATACGGGAAAATATGGTCTCTCTTTTCAGTCCTAGTTAGTATTCTCTCTGCAATACATTGAATACATTCATTGCAAGCAGGTGGTAAAAGAGTGTAGCCATAACTGTACCAATGAAACTGTACAGAAAGAAGAATTACAGATGTGTTATTGCCATGGTTATCCATAATCAGTAATTGTGATGCAGCCAAATTTCTATAAAAGGCTATATTCTGACCATAACTAGTCCTTATGATCTCTTTAAATTTTGTATTATTTCCTTATATTCCTTTGCTGTTGCTCTGTGCTGTAAAGCCTTGGGATAATAACAGTTTAACTTGGCAACTGATCTATAAGGGAACTTATAGAAAATGGGTGGAAAGCAAACAGCTGCTCTTTGTTAGTAGAAATTAAGGAAACTAGTGTGGGCACTATGCAGCAAAACAGCTTTATGTCTGCTGTGTGATTGAAATGAAAAATCAGAATCAACGTTGTGGTATTTATCTTAAGTGGCCAGGTATTGCTCGTAAGTGGTGAGGTTATCTCTAAAAATATGGAGGATCATTACCTGAGAAGGCTCTACAAATACATTAATTTCCAGAGGTTCATGTTGAGGTGCATTTCTTTAGAGAGATTTGAAGGATTACTGAGTCATTAATGGTAACCTAATGCCAGTGATATAAGGGGTGTCATACAGGTCTGAACATCCAAGTCCAATAATGAGCTAAAGTATGGCTTCACAGGTATAATCCTAAATCTCGACTCCCTATTTTGCTAAGAGAGGCACCGCTGATAGAAAAGGTTAATCCTCCCTTTGATTAAAACTGGAGGATGCCATTTGTTCTGGCCCCGTTGTCAGAAATACAACCAGAATCTGGGCAAGAGATGTGACGTTTGAGGTGCTTTAAGCATTTAAGAAAACCAGTTAATTTAGGTAAAAGCAAGGTGACATGGGATTAGACCTACTGCAGAGGCTTAATTCTGTTTTTGAACGTTATGCACTTCCTGTTATACTGTGTGGACTTTTTAAATGAAAATGGGTGGTTCCTTAAACCAAGTGACTAGTTAGTAACTAACTAGGTAATTCTTTCATTAAAAGGAAAATTAGTAATCAAGAGTGATAGCACACGTTTAAACAAAAGCACAATCTGGTGTGCTGAAAATGCTGCAGGGTTATAACTACTGTTTATTTTTAGCTTATTATTTCAGGTGTTTTTTTAGTTATCTGTTTGAAGTATTAAATACTGGAAAATAGTGAAAAATTACCTTTGTGATTTTGTGTTTTCTACAAACAAGCTTTACTGGATTTTTTCACACTATATTGCCAAAGGTATTTGTTTGTCTGGCTTCAGACGCATGTGAGCTTGACATCCCATTCTTAATCCATAGGATTTAATATGATGTTGATCCACCCTTTGCAAGCATGACAGCTTCAGTTCATCTGGAAAGGCTTTCCACAAGGTTTAGGAGTGTTTTTATGGAAATTTGGTGGTTGCAAGGGTGTGTAGCTGACTGGTTATTCCCAAGTCTGGTGTGACTGAGGAATAACCAAAAAACTAGGTTCAGTATGACTGAATAATCAATAAATAAAGTCATTAGGTATTTAAATGTTTAGGTCTTGCTCCTGATAATCCACTTTTGTTTGATCATCTTATAAATATTGATCAGTTTTTGAGGATACTGGAGCTCAAACTGCTTGCAACCTGCGTTTACACCATGAGCTTTAATTCTGTGACATTTTTGGATTTAGTAAATTACAGGGAGAGACACATTTCCTTATTTAAGCTCTTCTTGTAGTGTGTTTACCATGTGAAGGATTAGGTTCAGGAGTTTACCCATCTCCTTCTACTTGGGCCAGATTTATATAAGCAGTGTTGTGGACTGCAGGACCAAGATGTAATAAGGGTGTCAATATTAGTATTTAGTATTTATTTATTTATTGTCATTGTCAATATTCGTCATGTCAGCAAGTTGTGCTTCATTAATCTGTCTGATTGATCCAGCATCCATGTGGTTCAGTGACCTTGGTTTGCACAAATAAGAACTGCACCCTTGCTGGTGTTACCTGATCTACCGCTCTGCTGATAGGCTTCTGCGTGAGTTATTGAAAGCACAGGACAGAGACTTATGTGGACACCAAGTCCACGAGAGTGATGGGAACTCTCCAAGCTGAGGAGGAGGCCTTTTGTTACATTTCATGATATCATATGACTGTAGCAGCAGGATGGACCTAATAGACTTGTTCAAACTAATGAAGGTTGAAGAACTGAGAAAATACTTGGGGACTTTGGAGAAATTTGACCTTAGATGAGGTCAAGGGGGTTGGTCTTAGGAGACATCTCTTAGAGGTTAAATAGGTATAAATGCAGCTGCTATGAGATGGATGGTGTCATGCTGTGTAAGCAAAAAATGCTAATCAAGGGCCAGGAGCTAATCCCTTCCTAACTCATTCCTTGGAGATACACAGTTGATTTGGTGGATCGATATAAGTGCTGTGACTCAATGAACGGAATTAAGTGTTAGCCAGACTGGACTCATACAACATGCTAAATTATTTTTGCTTTAAAAATATTTTAGATGTTCCAGGTGGGCTTCTCTTAGTAGAGAAGTCACAACATACACATACTCTGTTACTGTACTTAAGTAGAATTTTCAGGTATCTGTACTTTAATATTTATTATTATTATTATTTTTTTAATTTTTTATTTTTTTTAGTGTGAGGTAATTTCAAATTCAACATTTCTATCAGCTCAACAAACATCAACAAATACACAATGAGTTTGTGTGCAGATTGTCACACAGTGTGTTTCTAGCTAAAGTCCAGCTGCTCTGTTTCCCAGGTAGAGAAAAGAACGAGAGTTAACTTCACTCAGAGATGGAGCATGGTGTAGGAAGACAGACAAGACAAAAGAGGAAGAAGAGGGGTTATATTTAAAGGTAAGGACCGCTCAGTGATGCTTGATAAACTGCAAATTTAAAGATCACATGCAATGTCATCATTTTAATCACATATTTGATCTGTATATAGGGATGGGTACCGGTGTCGTTCTGACATAAACGGTAGTAACCAGACCGAAAAGCAGCGCACATTTCGGTGCTTTATTTCGGTGCTTTTTTTTCCTGAGCTGTGATACACTTTAGATTCGAGCCAATCATTTTACGTTTCCGAGGATAGTAGGCGGGGCCAGGTACGTACGTTCTGTTAGAGCAGAGCTACAGATTAAAAATGCCCAAGGCGAGGCGGTCAAAAGTCTGGCTGTACTTCACAGCAAAAGATGCAAACTCAGCAGCAACAAGTGCTTTAAGCTGATACTGTGATACTGTCAAAGGAGGTAACACCAAGAATCCGATGAAACACCTGGCAACGCATAGCGTTTTTTTTCAAAAGCCGAGAAATGTGCCGTATTTGATAGCTTGCTGCGAGACCTCACACCGAGCGCATCTACTGCGGGTGTGGTGCCTGTTATCGGACCCGGAGTTAGCAACATCCCCCAAAAACACGAAGAGGAGAGTCCTGGCCCCTAGCCCTGCCAGTGTAGCAGAAATGATGAGGATGATGGTGGCAGCAGCAACCGTTCTTCTCTGCGTGAGTAGCTAATTTACGTTGAGTAGGCTAACCACGTTATTACATTAATGCATGTAAGG